GCGGCTTGATTCGAGAGGCTGTTTTCCAACCTCAATCAGGCTACTATGAAGAGAGAACCTGGTAATTACTTCCACGTCCTTTCATCCTTTTGTAATTTATAGTTGAAACCGTATTCATATCCTTTTTCTTCGCTCTTTCGTTTTTTTTCTTTTTTCCAGGAAGTTTGTCTGGTTCGATTTTCTTGGTTGCAGGAACTACGGTAAGGAAGGAAAATGCATTGTATATTGTGTGCTCCCGCATAATTGTGGACCTCACGTTATATATATATGTGGATTCCTGTTAGAGTGTGCAAATTCTGATTTTTATATTTAGGCTACGTTTTGCATAAATAAAATATAATGTGAAATTCATTTCAAATCAACAATTAGATCAAACCAAAAAAGTAAATTGTATTTGAATGTCAATAAAATTGAAGTCTTATGGAATTTTATGTATAATTTAGCTAGTGCATTATAAATTCTATTACAATTAATGAAATTTGGAATTTATCATTACATTTTCATATAAAATTCTAGATGATTTTATTCTTTTTTTTTATTTTAAGAAGTATTCTCACATGTTCTAGTTAAACTAAGTGTGGATTTACAGAAGAATTCCTTAAAATTTATATATTTGTCCCAAATATAGGGATTACTTGAAACAATGGATTTAATTTTGAATAAAATTTATTCAATATCTTTCAAATCCTAATCAACTTAATGTAATTTAAAAAGATTTTTACACTCAATTAAAATTCTCAAGCATAGTAATTCAGATGAATTTTTTCCAAATATTTAAGAGTTTATTGATTTATAATTTTATTTTATGTATAAGAAATCCGTTAGGAAGTGAATCTTTTTAATTGAAAATAAAATAAAAAAATACTTCTTTTTTTTCAATTAAATCCTTGGGTGCCCATTTCCTTTGCCATTAAGCATTTCATTATGTTGATGTTTATATTATTGACAATCTACTTATTCGTTGCTGTTGAGTTCTGTAGGTAGGGGCTGGGATCCTTGCCATTCCTGCTGTAACACAAGAAACTGGATTTTTAGCCTCTGCAGTTGCTTGCACTGCTTGTTGGATGTATATGGTACCCACTTGTCTTTCTGAGTTTACTTACTTCTCCAGCACTTCAGCATTTTAAAGCCTTTTCTATTTTCTGTTTCAGATTAACTTGTTATACATCTATAATTATATAAGTCGCTGTATAGGAGAGCTGTTGTTATCATTATCTTACTTACAATGAGATCTGTTGTTAGTTTGTTGAATCCATAAAGCCTATTGTATGACTATTTACAATTTTTTAGTCTCATTAGTTTACAAGTAAAAAATTTGAAATCATATGCTATTTCTGTTTTTATCTTTCATCTTCCTGCTCTCATTCTCTACATGTTTATCTATATTTACATGTACATTCATGATCCAATTATTCATTCATTTGACTATGAAAGAATGAAATCTATATAAAAGCACGCATACTGCAGGTTGTGACAGGGCTTCTGATTGCTGAAGTGAATGTGAACACAATGTGTGAATTGGGTTCTGGTGGCGTGTCCCTGGTACGTTCAGTAAAGCTTTATCTTTTCAGTGTCTCCAACTAGACATCTGATTTAATATTACAATATCTTTGCTGAAATTATTTCCAGCTGTTATGTGCACTCTAACTCCATGGTAAGTATAGAAACTAATTTCCCAAAGGTAGGCGTTTCATGTAATGGTCAAAATGCTTCAGGGTGATTTTGAGAATAGAACACTGACATTGTGAAAGCCTGAGAATAACTGTCATTTTAGAGTGCAAGTATCTATCTTTCCCAGCTTGGTGTACACCATGTAAATCCATATTTATCTTCCTACAGTTATTTAGATGAAGGTACATATAAATTTACATACTACAGATCCACTCTGTTTGGGATGCTCATTGCTTATGTTATATGTCATAGTTTAGATTTGTCTTATAACAGGAGCAAATTTTATTCTTATTTCTACTCTATGGATTAGAATCCATGATACAACAGTACATTTGTGGAAGTCTTGACTCAAATTATATTGTATTTGATATATTTATTTCCCTATGTTCGTTCCCAGGTTTCAATGGCCATGCGAACCCTTGGAAAAGTTGGAGTTCAAATTGCTTGGTAGGGGAATTTGCTCCTTGCTTTTGATTAGTAATTAGTAGTCATTTTTATTCTTGCTCTGCACTGTTAGTGTGCTATATTAACATTATTCCAAGCTTGACTATTTATACATGGTTAAAATGTTCTCTGCTGAACTGTCCCTATCAAATTTTCATGTTTATAGTTAATGCTAATTGAATTTAAATATGTGGTGGTCCAAATAGTTGAGTACATGTGACTCTGTAAATTTCTAAAGCTATTTGCTTCATCATTTACAAAAGATATTCATTGTAGAGTTGCTGATTGATGCTACTGAAGTACTACCTACGTACCTTGTCCTCTCTGTCTGTATTATCATTCTTAATATTATCTTCTTTCTCCATTAAAAAAAATTGCAGATACTTTAAATAAAAGGAATATTTTAAGGGTTAGGTGAGGTAATTTGGTTTGAAGCCATTTCTATGATTTTAGGTTTCTTAACATTATGGAAGAGTTTGTAAATGCTTATCAATTTCTTTTAGCTATTAGTCATTCATATCATGAGCAATGCATTGCCATAGTCATTGTTTAATTGTCGATCTATCTTGCAGTTGGTCCTACATATTCATTCATTATGCTCTTCTTGTTGCCTATGTGGCTCGTTCTTCAGATATTCTGACCAGTTTTCTCGGCATTCCATTGTATGGATACGAATACTAGTTGCCTGAATGTTACTTTTATTGATTATGTTGAGTAGATTTATATTTATGTTATTTGTTGACGTACAGCATTATGATTGCAGATGGGAAAGTGCAACGTTATTCTCTTTGGTTTTGGGAAGCATATGCTACTTTGGAAGGTTAGACATTTTTCTAATTGTTCAATGGTTGCCCACCAAGGCAGTTATTCTGAATTTCAAGTAGTATTTAAGATTCTTTTTTTTTTTTAATTATCCACTAAATCACATAAAGAAATATATCATCTCCACACTCCAAAAAATTCCATGCTTTCTGATCGAACAATGAATCTTGTTTACTTTAGTATACATTTGCATTCAGACGAAGGCAGTTGATTCTGATATCTGTTTTTATGTCATCTTTGAGGAAAAAATGACCTTATATCATCTTCCTTTTTATTTATTTATTTAATTTCCCTATAGAAGAGAACAATCATCCATTCAAAACTGGAATGTTAAAGAGGAATCTTTGGAGTTGGTCCTCCAAAATGCGTAGTTGGTAAAAGGACGTGAATGGAACAGTTGACAACAAAGAGACTTGTGCTCAAGAAAGCAAACATTGTTTTGGATGGAGAGGTTACTAACATGTCCTAAGTGCCTTATTCCAGAAACTATCACATGACATATGCTTCTCTTCTAACTGGAACCTAGCTGTATTAATTTCAAGAGCCTGCTGTTGCAGGGTGAAAGTAATTTTCAAGCTTCAACTTATGCTTCCTATCATATCAAAGAACAGAGGATTAAAATTCAGATCTTGGCAATTGTCTAATTTCTGTGAAGTAAATTTCATCACAAACTGTAGTGGGCCTTTATGCTTTTAGCATAGTGTCTTATGTGTAAGGAAATATTTTAGTATGACTAATGAATATTTTTCTTCTCCTTTCAGTTTAAACTTTTGAGATAATTGCTCAAAATCAATTACTTAACAAGAATCTTGTAGTCAAATGATTGACTAATGCCCGTCCTGTCACATAGAAGCTTTGTGAAAGTTCTAAACTGGGGTTTCTTCTCAATGGTACAAAATATGAGTCAAATGCATTGAAATTAATCAATAATGGATAGACAATCTATATCGAGCCATTTTCATAGAGTTTGCACTTGATGTGGGCATGGTTGTGTCTTTTGATTGAATAAATAACTGACTATTACTTATCTGTTATTGTAGCCAGCGTTTCATTGGGGCTGCTAATGGAGTCCTAGTACTTGGAATAATTGGTTCTTTCACAGCACTTGTGGTACCTCTAAATTCATTCTCTATATGTTTGATCACTGAACTAATCTTATTGAGTTGCAATTAATTTTTTTTAACCAAAATCTTCCTTAAGTGCCTTGAACAAGGTTCACTGACCCTTTTGGTTCCTTGGAGGGCTGTAATATTTCAATGGGATTGAACCTGGATTGTTGTCTCCAAGGAGACACAACAAACTATTGACTTATTGAGCCCATGATAGTTGTAATAATGTGCTAATATTGAGCCCATGACTCAAGTGTAAAGTTATATACAAAGAAATAGTCACTAACTTAGAACCAATATTAGCACATTGTTACAACTAAGGTCATCTTTGTTAGTCCCTAATCATCCATTGAATGAAAATAAATTTGTAATGACTTGAACAAAATAAATTGTAATCTCAAATACGATGTAATCACGAAACTATTATATTGTTCCAACTATTTAAAGTTAGAGTTTGTTAACTAATAATTTATTAGTTGTAAAATTTCTCTCTTTTTTACTTATGTGTAGCCAAGTGATAATCAAGACCATAACACGAGTTGATGGACCTTTTCTAGGACCCTCTTGAGGTTATATTGAGCTATGGACCATTCTCCTGATAGGTTGTTAGAGGATTGCACCCTAACTTGGGGTTCAGTTCATAGATATGGATCTCAAACCTACAGGACTTTTCAAGTAGGAGAGGACCCAAGTTCTTCAGTCAGATTGGAATTGGGCCTGGACCTTCATCTAGGTTATTGTTGGTCGAGTTAGGCCTAACTTTGCTCACTTGATTGAGTTGGCTAGTGTTTGTAGCCTCTAGATTGCTCTGACTTAGATTCACAACTTTATTTGGGCCAGGCCCTAAATTAATGATTGGACTTAGGCACCACATTACTGCAGATAACCAATATCAAGGTTTAGACTATGCCCTCGAACGGGTTGGGTATAGGACCATACTCCCTAATTTGGACCTGGGTCCATATTTTTAGGTAATGAATTCGGTTTGAGTTGCACATCTTATCGAAAGGCTCAAGCCTTGCGCTATGTCTGGTTAGGGTGTTGAGCCTTAGATCCCACTTGGGCAGGGATTTGGCCCTTGGACCTTGCCCAGATGGGTCAGGCTAGCGTTGAGACAATGGTTTGGTTGGTGTCAATCTCATACTCATGCCCCAGACAAGATCATGCTTAGTGTTGCCATAAACTGTGTCTAGCTTATGATTTTCCCCTAATTGGGCTGTGCTTGACATGCAATGCCCCAGATATTTAGTCAATAAGATGATGTAGCAATTATTCTTTTCTATATCTCATGTGATGAATTTTTTTGGTTTTTATGTTATAAAATAATAACCGGTTATCTTGTGCAAATGGTTCAATGGTGGACATGGCGATATGTCTAAAATCAAGAATGGTATTTATCAAATTAGCCTCCGGAAAACTATTTGGCAGCTTAACACTCTCATCCTCCAGAATTCCAGATGGCGTGTCGGCAATCGCCAGAAAATCCATTTCTGGTCTGGCAGATGGTATGGTACAGTCAATCTCCGCAAAATACCCTCTTATTCATGCTATTTCTAGTGACAAAAATATGCTGGTCAAAGATGTTATTGATCCCAACTCCCCCAACCATTGGAGTATCATTGTTAACAGGAATTTCCAAGACTGAGAGATCGAGGAATTTGAAAGTCTTTTGTAGACCTTGTCGAGCATTAAACTCTCAAATCAGGAGGATAAATTGAGATGGGAAATCACGAAGAATGCTCACTTTACTGTCAAATCATTCTACAACCTGCTGGCCAGAAATTCTAGCAACAGTGGACATTTGTTTGCTCGTAATATTATCTGGAAAGCAGGGGCCACTCCCAGAATTTCCTTTTTCGCTTGGGAGGCTGCAAAAGGTCGCATTATCACATTGGACAATCTCAAGAAGAAAGGGATTCCTATTGTCAATAGATGTTTTCTCTGCAAGAACATTTTAGAATTTTGCAATCATCTTCTGCTTGAATGTAATATGGTTCACAAGCTGTGGTCAGTGGCTCTCAGTCTCCTGGGTCTGTCTTGGGCTAGAAATGAGTCTATTTCATCTGACCTCCTTGCTTGGGAAGACGTCTCCAGCAAAAAGAAATCTTTCAAACTCATTCCTCTCATCATTTTCTGGGTTACATGGAAGGAAAGAAACAACAAGGCTTTTGAAGGCAAAAAAGTAGAATTTAGCATAATCATTGACAATTGACTCCATTATCTTGGTTCTATTATATTGGAGCACAACATTGACTGTTTTGAAGATCTTGGTTTCATTGTTGATATGCTAAACAACTTGTAAATTTTTTGTACATGGAGGGTGCCCCATTACTTCAATACAATACTTAAATTTTTATTTCAAAAGAATAAATGTTACAAAATAACTCAAGTAACCTAAAAATAGTAATGCAAAGTTGCTTACTTTTTTTTATAATAGCAATATTTCCTACATAGTGCATTAGACAATAGTAAGCTATTTTCCTTGTAATCTTTCCTATATATTTAATGTCCTATGTAGGTAGGTTCTATAATCAATGTCCTATTTAGTTAGATTTTATTCTATGTATTTCCTTCCTTATTCATAGTTATCTCTGTAGATACATGTATATTTCTTCAACATGATAACAAGGTTACTATTCTTCTAGTGTTATATCAGAGCAACAATTAATAGAAGTTTTGTAGGATTCCTACTATTTTGTTCACCATTCCTAGCAATTCTTAGCTATCTATCATGAAGAGGAAGGTAAAAAAACAATTTCTCATTCTTCTCTTGGTTACTCTATTGGCCAGTGCTCATAAAATATGTTTTTATTTAGAAATATTAATGATCATGAAGTTGTTGATATGATTTTTTTATTTAGCTATCCTCAATTTTGTCACTTTTTGTCTGAGAATATTTGGTCTGGACTCTTTAGGCACTTTTACCTATAATTTTTTTTGTGCCCACCTACCAACACCTAAAGAGAAGAAGAAACAAACCCCTCAAGATGAAAATGGAAAACTTAGGAAAACTTCTAAAATTTTAAATAAATGAGTACAAAATCTTCAAGTCATAAATAATATAAAAAATGGTTATTGTGAGAGTGAGCCACTATGAAGCACTTCAAGCACGTCCTTAGTATAAAAATGTGATTTTAGCTAGCAAGTTTGGAGCAAGACATTAGTGAGGTTATTCAAAACACAGTTCAAACAAAAATCTTAACCGTAGTGGGAGCAGGAACCTTCCGAAAGCAACTAATAAAAATGTTACAATGAGGGGCTCATTTTGCTAGGTAGTGGTGTTGTGACTGGAGAGAAACAAGAGGATCTTTAAGGATTATTTTAATCTTTTTTGCTCCTTTCAGAAATTATAACTTTTTTGGTGTCTCTTTGGGTTTAGATGCATGGACACTCTAAGGATTATTCGTTTATTTTTATTTTGTCTCTCCTCTTTTCTTCGAGTGGGAGGACAAGTAGTTCTCAGTTGTTCATTCCTCCTATCTATCTTATAGAACTTCTTTTTCTATAAAAAGATATCCAGATATGTTCTTTTTTAATCATTTTCTCACCAACCATTTTTTCTTTTTTTTGCTTCTTTAGATAGTTAATTGGATTTTTCCCTTTTAAAAGAAAGAAAAGGCTTCTTTTGTTCCCTTTTTTCTTTAAATTTGAAAAGGAAAGACATATTACAGGTCTGTAATAAAACCTTGGTGTGCAAAACCCCAGGAGAGAGAAAGATCGAGTTGGCTTTTTGTGGGGTATTTTTTCAGCATGTCCACTTCAGAATTTGAATTGTCAGCATTAGGTGACTTCTTTACCACATGTTCAACTGCTACCCAATATCTCTTGCACTCCTTGCTGTCATCTTTGGCGATCGAATCTGACATGTCACCACTTGTGAGGTGGTCTATCTGTTCTGGGGTGCATTTGTTGTTTTGGCCGTCCATTTGAGAGATCTGTGGCTCATTTGTAGTGTTTGGTCATCCCTTCAGGAGATTTTGAAATGCTTCTTGGAGATTGTATTGGTGTATGGCATTCCTTCCCCTTTCTACCGAAGTGATTATGGTACAATGAAGTTATTGGGGAGAAAGGACGCGTTGTGGTGGTATCACTAGAAACTGTGTTGCTTTGTTAAAGTTGTGTTATTGTGCTTAGACTACTTATCAATGTCAATGGTTCTTACTTCGAGTGTAGCTATTCTGTTCTTTTGATGCTCATGTTAAGTGGGTAATATGTGGTTCAAGTTAGTGATTAGTTTATTTTCAGCTAGTTCTTACAAAAGGAAAAGTATGAGAAGTTGTTATGACCCCTTCGAGCTTGTTGGCTCAGGGGGAGCGAAGAGAAGGACTAATTGTCCCTCTATTATGGTTGAACCTTAGAGCTTTTTCTCTGGAGGAGTGAGGACGAGTTGTCCTGTTGGTATAATTTTTGTTCTAGAGCCTCTTCTTGGGGGAGCAAGGACTAGTTATCCCATAAGAATTGTTGGTGCCCTAGAGTTTTTGCTGGGGAAAGTGAGGACTAGTTGTCCTACAAGTGAGGATTAGTTATTTCACAAAAAGTTGTGAGCTAGAGTTTGGTTGAGCTCATCACTATTCGATGAGAAGCAATTGTTGGCTCAACTTATCTGGAGAGAGGATTCGTGGAACTCAAATTTTGGTTGCTAGCAATTTGTAGGGTTTGTCAAGCTACAAGTTTTTAAGTTAGTTAAAGTTTTCTATTTACTTTAGTTCATCTGTAACAAACTTCAAATAATGTAAGCTTCACCTCAAGGGTGAGTATTTGAGAAATAGGAATATTTTCTATATATATATATTTTATAAGAGAATGGTAAACTATTTTCCTTATAGGTTTTTCTCACATAGTTGATAGTTATGTACATTTGTTTAACCAAACATTATAACATAAGGAAATGATTATATTGCATAATCATTTTAGTATTACGCTCTTGTTCTGTCTTAGCAAACATGGCCATTATATGTTTTTGCCATGGCAAACTTGATCTGAATTGGCATTTCTTTAAGTCCGGGAGTTGGTAAAAAGTTTCATGTGTGCCAGATTATTTTTTCTAAAATTTGATCATTCCAAGAGCAGAATTAGCTCATATATATACATATTATATTTCAATTCATCTTCACATTTTGCTTCTGGTGGAAAGTTCATCCTAAGTTTTGCGGAAACCCCAATACTTGAACAATTGGAATAATCCTTATAGACTAAATATATCGAAGAACCTTGACATGGATAATTGTTGTTGGAACAGTTTTTTTAATTGTGTCTATACTTTCATTTTCTTTCTTATGCAGAACTGAGTCTATTCTAAATGTTGACAGCTGACAAGTCAAACTTTGTCCTCATAAAAATAAAGACAAATCGGTTGCTCTTTCTTAGGCAGCTGCAAGTGGAAACCTACAATGGGAAGCTCTCTTAAAAGCTAACTTTGAAGCTGTTCCTATGAGTATACCTATTATTGCTCTCTCATTTGTTTACCAGGTAACATCCATCCGCCAGCATTTGTTCAACATAAGTGAAGCAGTATTAATCTCTCCTCTTTTTATTTTTCCAGAATGTAGTGCCTGTTCTTTGTACTAATCTTGAAGGAGACCTGTCAAAAGTAAGGTGAGATATCTTATCAAGCACATCTTTTCCAGATATTCCATAAATTGTTTCTAGATGTAATAGTTTGTTGTTTATTTCATAATTTTGTGTAACAAAATTTACTGTGTAGCAATATCCTCATTGTCACATGCAAATAAATTGCTTTAAGAGTCTAAGGAAAACACAGAAAGTGAAGATAGAGAGAAGATTAAACCAGTTTCTAGCTTGTAGATAGAAAATATTGAGGGCTGGGATGAGAAAGAGAGAGAGAAAGAGAGAAATGCATGCAAAGGAACAACTGAGAAAACAGTAGAAGTTGGATGAGTTTCCCAAGGTATGAGCCTAGAACCTCTAGCTTCATACAGTACGAAAATGGTTGAATTTAGTAACCAATTACACAAAAGTAAACTAAATTACTTAACCTATTATTTGTATTATATATATTTAGCAGTACCGTCGGCATTAACTCTGTCACTTAATTTCAATTCATTGTATAGTAAGATAAAATATAATGTAGCATCTTGTCATATTGTTATAATACCTTAGGGATGTTTAATATGCTGTGCATAACCAGCTGGTCCTTTTCCAGGACTGCAATCATTCTTGGTACAGCTATACCACTTGGTTTGTTCTTAGTCTGGAATGCTGTTATTCTTGGATCCATTCAAGATGTTGAAATGGCCACTAAGGTCATTGACCCATTAGAACAATTGAGATCGACCAACGGAATTGTTGGAGTAAGTTTTCATTTTTCTTCCCAACAAATTGAAATGCTATTTAAAATGCTGAATGAAATAGCTTACATCTCTTTTTCTCCCTAACTACCTGCAGCCAATAGTTGAAGTATTCTCCTTTCTTGCCATTGCAACATCCTATATTGGATTTGTCTTGGGCCTTTCAGACTTCCTTGCTGATTGTGAGTGTGCATCCTTCAACTCCATTGATCTACAATCACATATAATATACATTTACAAACTCTCATGTTAATATTGTGATATGTTCCAATCACTAATTACTATACATTCTCTGTTTCATTGTCTACCTGTCTAAGACATATAACTTGCTTCAAGGCTTAATAATATGATAAACAATGAAGAATGTGACAATGAGCTACTATCTTCATTATAACTACTAAATAAAATGAACTACTACTTTTTATGATCAAGTAGATTACGTGTGTTGCTGGGTAATAATGAACTACTGACTTTTCTTTCGCTAGAATTCTAGTATCAAATTTTTGTGTATCGTGTAATCTACTTAATTATAATCTGCCATGAATACTACTGTTGGTTCCTAAGGATTTATGAAAATAACTGATTATCCGCATCTTCATCCTTATATTTAGTGGGGGAAAATGGTGCTTGTGGATGTATTTTTTTTTGTTAATATTGGAGTAAATTCACGAGATGTTCACAACATTTAGGATAGATACTGCTAACTGAATATTAAGTATGACTTACACCACATTTATTCCCCTCCAAATTGAGAGAAGAGAAAGGGAAAGAAAATGATTTAGAAATTTTTAAGGACAATTTTCTATCTTGTAGTTACAGTTAACTTGTCATTATATTAATAAAGGGTGTTATTATATTTATCCAAACAGGGGAGCTTTTTTTTTGCTTTCTCCATTCATTGACTAATTTTTAGTCAAAAATGTTAGATCCATACAAGATACTTGAAACTTTATGAAACTTCAGTTAGAAAAATCAAAATGGACACAATTCTATTTAGTTAATATTTCTCATTCTTTAAAGGCAGAAAGCTGGAAGTTTATCCGATCGCACTCATAAAACTCGAACCCAAATGATGATCACTTTTTCTGTCCATACTGATCAGGTGGAGCAAAGTCTTTCTTATATTGCTTTTGTCTTTAAGATGTTAATTCGTCCTCCTCTTCTCATGGAGATGATTATTACCACAAGATTCAAGTTATCAAGTACTTGTCCCACTTTTACTCTTTTAGATGTTTGCCGTTTCAAAAACATGAGTGCAAGTATTACTGTAATTACGATTAACTATTTTAATTGAAGAAAAAAAAAATTACAATTAACTATTTTTAGGACTATAAAATATTATTGTAATTACCATGATTATTTAATGTTTTTATATTATTTATGCTATTTACAAAACTGTAATTAGCTTTAGTAGTTTTTGAATTTATTAGGATCTAGAAAGTTTTGTTAGTGCTAAAAGAATTAAGTGATATAGTTCTTGTTATTATGTTGAAGAAATGATACCTGGGACTATAAGTGAACATGTTTTATGTAGGACATTAAGAATATGGAAGAAATAGACTAATAAGGAGATTGAATAATTTCCCCTACTCTACGCACCAATAGGAAAACATAACAGGTAAAGACCTTAACCTTATTCTTTTAGGCCATACACACAGGTAAGTCACCAATTTGCTTTACTCTTATGTAAAGCAAGACTGGAAAAGAGAAATGAGCCCCCACATTATCCACCGTAGTTACAAAGCTTTTATCTACCATCACCAGTAAACCCCCTGAACCCCAGTGAAAACTAAACCCAATCCTTGAATTTAGGCTCCCACGCACTTCTAATTAACATAGGATAATGGCTAATATATCAAACATATATGTAGGACATTAACTATATAGAAAAAGATTATACCTTATTGTTGTCTTTCATTATTTTGTTATTTACTTGTTAGTTGTAATTAAGGAATAATTAGTGCTTCTATGAGAGCTAGTAATCCAATCAAAAGTAGGACAATACTTCATTCCTTTTAAGATTTCTCTCCCTCATTTACTTACTTTTGCAAATTTTATTCAGTACTGAAACTCCCAGCTGGCGAAAACAGGCCTCTTCCTTACCTCTTGACTTTGATTCCGCCATTGATACTATCGCTGCTAGACCCAGAAATATTCTTCAAGGCTTTGGACTTTGCAGGAACATATGGAGGTATTTTAGTCTATTCCTTACTGGGGTTCTTATAAATTGGTTTTGTTCATCCTTTGGTTTTGTCACCACTAATCTAAATCCTTCAAATTGAGATTGACATGGCAAGGCTGTGTCTCATTTCATATGCTCTTGACAGTGTTGGTGCTATTCGGAGTTATTCCCGCAGCAATGTCATGGTCAGATAGGTACTCTAATTCATCCTCATCTGCACAACTGCCGCAGCTGGTTCCTGGAGGAAGATTTACCCTTTGTCTCGTGATTGGAGGGGCAGGGTATGTCATTCTTTCGGAATTGCTGGAGAAAATTGGATACTCATAACCACCAAATGCACATGCCACCTTTCTTGTTTGGTGTTTTTATAATCCCTGAAGAATACCCTTGATAAGAAAACTTGGACAAAATTCTTTGGCCTATCAGATAGCGACCCCCACAGTATACTGCTTCATTTGTATAGATTCTGATTCTTATTACATATATATAATAAAAGTTAATTGCGGTCAATATGTCCACATCTTTGACCAAACAGCAATAGTGTTAAAATAACCTTATTTTTTGTTCTGTCTAATCTCTCTCCACCACTCCCCTGTAATCTCCCTCTCCCGAAAGATATGTCCTTTATATCCCCACTGTTTTATTACATCTTCTAGGTACCTGTGGATATAGGTCCCACATTTCCTATAGCCAATACCTTGCTGTGGTGAAGCCATCATTTTGGCATGTGACTGTTATCTGTCTTTGATATGTTTTTGATAGTGAAGCCATGAATTTGACAGTTGAGTCCTACGAATATTCATCTCTGTTGTGGGTAAAGAGCTAATAATGAAACAATTCTTCTGGCTTTGTTGATTAATTACCCTTTGTGATGGAGACAAATCCCATATATGCTTTTGATATCCTAATGTTTTTAGTTCTGCTATTTGGGCTGATTAGTTGCGGCCATCTGGGCCTTTCTTCTTTCTAGGGTCATCATTTTGGGTTTTAGGGCAAGTGTTGGTTATGCCATCGAATTAATCCCATGGGATTAATTCAGTCTTTTAAGTCTAACAAACTAATTTGAGCTTCTTAGACTAAGTATTAAAAGCTTCAGTTTAACTGAAAAGATTATTGGTCAAATAATTTTCTGACTTTTGGACCATTTAATTAGAATTTAGGCTTTTATTCATGAAATTACTCTACACCCCTTAGGCCACAACTATTACTTGTATTATTGGAAATACCCACAACTAAATTTGTAAAACAGTTTTCTGATAATGGATTCATTCTTCTGGTAATGAATTGGAGTTGAGCTTTTTTTTTGTATCTGTGAAGAGTTGATTGACTGCGGACAACTCTTCGGTCAAACGGTTATCCAATTTCAGGTTTATGATCCAGGTTTAGGATTTAGGTATCTATCCCACATAGTTGGTCCATAAGTTGTGGACATTTTATACTTGCAGGAAATGTTATCCTAATTATGTGTAGTTTTCTAGGGTCCAAAATTAATTTAAAGGGTAATTCTATGTTCTTTATCTACTTCGAGGTACTAGATTACAAAATGTTCTCGTAAATTATGGCTAATACCGGTATATAAGTTGTAATTTCAAATTCGGAGGTTGATGGTACTCCGGCAAGAGACGTTCATAGATGCCATCCAATATCAGCAATCCTGATGACAACCATGTTTAACTTTGTATTACATAAAACAGACAGAAGGTACTTTTTTCTTTTATAGCAATATGGATCAACACACAAGCACTAAAAAAGTTTTAACTGAAGTGCAAAATACAAATCGTCAGTGTTGTTATATCATCTTACACAGGCACGGAGAATCATGCCACATCTCAGTGGGGAATATCTTTTATAGCAATCATCACCTATAAGAAATCATTCCACGCCTACAGTAACCGTTTTCTTGGTTGCCAAACATCTCTAAGTAATTCTCCATATGTATATATTAGTTGGATATATTTCATTCAGACAAAAGGCAGATAAAAACATGCCTTGGTGTTGGGGACAATATTGACATGGGAGAATAAAAAATGAAAAAAAAAAAAAAAAGAAAGGTGGGGAGACCATAACACAATCAAACAATGCCATGACTACTCTTACAAACTTAATATAGGAAGCATAGACATAATTACAATTAGTAACTGGAAATCGGCAGAGGTCTATTAAGTTCCCAAAGGAGCTCTATCGTCTGGCCCGGCAAGCATGATCTGAAATTTTAAGCATTTGCATTTTAAAATCAATTTAGAAATGCCAACTCGAAAAATAACAAAAGAGTACGTAACGACAAAGTTTATTAAAAACAGTAGAGAAATACTCTGGAAACACTTACATTGCAGTCGAAAGCCAATCTACGGGCAAGCATGATGGCCGCATTTCTGTCTCGCTCTGATTCAAATGCTAACACATAAGAATGCCCTTTCTTTGGTTGCCAAAATGATGCCTGTGCTGCGGCATTCCCACCTCCTCTAACGCCACAGAACTAAAGAGTGTGAAACAATGTTAGAAAAGGCCTACTCCCAACAGTCTCTTCCTTCATACTGATGGTAAATACTGAAACTAGCTAAGGAGCATGTTTTTGCCTGAGATAAATGAAGAGACAGAGGGATATAAAGACTATTAACAAAGATAGAGACTTAGAGTGGAGAAGATTTGCATATGCTATCCTAGTATTGTCATATACTAGTAATACAATCTCTAGTTCAACACCTCCACAAGCCCTTCAAGAAAACATTAAAATTCTTCTGCAGTTTCACAATAACTTAGGTGAATTCATGTACAATCACAGGCACAGATGAACTAAGATAAGATGAGAAGGAACGAGACATAGAAGCGATAAACATTCTTGAACTCAAAATGTCAAATTATCTGCAACGTACTGAATAGGTACCTGCATCGAAGAGGAATAATATTCTTTAGCAATGGTCATCTTTCCTTTGCAAAGCTTCATCCTCATCTTTCCCACATGAAGTACATGAATAGATTCTGAGGGATGATCTACTCCATCTATTTGGGTGACAACTACCTGCAATTTTTTAATAAGAAAAGAAGCGAATTATATTAAGCGGGAAAGAGAGTGGAGATACCGTATCTTCCTAAGGGGAAAGATAAAGAGAATACATGACAAGGAAAGAATTCAAAAAATGTCGAGAGAGCTCAGCATAAAAGAGCCTCCCAACATATTTGCAAACTACAAAATCCTAAAGACCTAGATTTTAGGTTTACACTTGATCTCCCAACATATTTGCAAACTACTTAATCCTGAAGACCTAGATTTTAGGTCTACACTTGATCTCCAACATCTTTGCAAACTACTTAATCGGTAAAGACTCAGACTTTAGATCTACACCTGATCTTAGACTCAGCTCAATAAATTAGCCAGAAATGACTAAAGGATAATGGACCAGTATTACCAGTCAAATAGAACCTGAACCTTTTCTGCAAGAGCAAGCTTTCAACTCTCAGCCTCTTGACAACGAGCAGAGGATATAACAACGTCAACTGAGTAAGTTTTTTTTTTTTTTTTTTGTTAGAAATATAACCTCAACTGAGTAAGTTGGTTGACCAGAATCCAAATCTAATCCAAAAGTTGACCACAAGATGCTGGACCAGTAGTACTGGTCAACCAGAATCTGAACCTTTTCTGCAGGTGCAAGCTTTCAACCCTCAGTGATGCGGAACCCAGGACACACAGCCTCTTGACTAAGAGGAGAGGACATAACAACCTCAACTGAGTAATTTTTTTTTGAGATATAACCTCAACTAAGTAAGTTGGTTGACCAGAAATCAAATTTAATCCAAAAGTTGACCATAAGATGCTTGCGCCAGGAAATGTTATATAAAAATTGTTTAAGGAATTAGCCTGACAAACTTGACTTATGGCTATCTTTTTTTTTTTTTTGTGGAAATATTATGTATGGCTATTTGGGAAAAAAAGAGCTCAAATCCTGGAAACATACATTAAATTCAACATCATGTTTCCGCACAAGCGCCTCCACATAGCTTCCCAGTCCAGCAGCTGTTAGAAAGAATTGCATTACCTTTATTATCTTCCCGTTTCATCATTACACTAAATTAAACAGTGAGACTACACTGCCCGCTAATTAACAAGTGGTAGATGAAAAGAAGAATAGAAAGTAAATACTGCTTTGGAAACAAGAAGAAAAGCAGACCTGGATCTATGGTTCCAGTGGTATTCAATACATTCCGTTGGCCATCCAACATAATTTCAGCTTGCAGGGCTCGCCCAACATCAAAAGGCTCCGGAGCATAAACTGATTTTGTAGCACCTGAGGGTCAGAAAATTAACAGATTTAGGCAAAGGTTTTCTTTACATCTTCAAAAGGTACCATCAATAAGATCTGTCAGTCTTGCTACCTGTCTATGCAAGCAACCTGATTTCAACAAGAATCATTTTTATATTTTCCCCAAAACTTCCTTCTCAAGTTGGAAGTATAATTTGAGCACACAAGAAATTATCATTACTAGATTGACTGCACTCCGGTGCACTATTTTCATTTATAAGCCCCCACCTAAAAGACAACTTCCTATTTGATCTCCCCCGACAAAGATGAAACTCAAGAAGCAAATGAGAGAGAGGGACAAGAAGAGCTCTACCATATGACTTCCTTTTGGGAAGACATCTCTACCCATAGTTAATAATGTTACTAGCAGGTTATCTTAAAAACTTCCATGAGATTACAACCAAGCTTAACAAACCGTGTCCAATACATTCAAATTGCATCCAATAGATTCAACCTCCATAGCCGTTTTCTCTTAAAATGAACCATTTATGCTTGGCTCAAATTGTGCCGTTTTGAGAAAACAAAGGTACATCCACCAACTATTTGCACAACTCTTCTAGACTTTAAATCCAAGGGATCTTCAGAAATGTTCACACTAAAAGGAACTAATAAGTCTAACTTTTGCTCCATTACTTAATCTTTCGGCCCAATTACCATCGTCACTTTTTTCTTTTTTGGTATAGCAAAAGTTATATCAAGAGAGAATCCTCAAAATACCCATGCACGTAGCCCGAAAAGAGGCCATACAATTATACAAATCATTCTTTTCCAAATAACACCCGCAGGGGTAACAGTGGTTCATATCCTGATATTATGTTAAATCCAACACCCAACAAAAACCACTCTACCCCATAACCCTGTATTCTCTTTATTGTGCACAAAGACCCTCAAAGATGCAAAGAAAAACACTCCAAAAAATGGTGCAAAAATCCAGCTAAAGAGAGAAAACTTATTCCAATATTATAAAGCCACCTTGCACTGACTGCCATCAGCATAATATTACATAACATGAAAAGTACATGCTTCATATTCTTTGTTTGTTAGTTAACAACTCGGATCCCATACCTTAAATTAATAAAATGCTACTAACATTTTATTTAGCAAAAACATGTACGGAAAAAGATTTTGTCATGAAAAAGGCAAGAGTAAAGCAATCACTCAGGCAATTCCCAAAAGACTCCACAATTAAAAAAAATCAAGAATTTTGTGAAATCACAAACATTTCCAACTCAAATTGAAATTTCTTTAACGTTTGGTCAATGTTTGAAATGTTCTATAGGACAAATAGTAGGATACCGAAATGAGTTGTCCGGTGATGGAATGATGATCCTAGTCAAGTATTTGGAGATTGACATCTATATTGGAGCATCCTGTGGCAACAACATCAGTACAAACAGCAAGCACCTAATAATATAAAGATGCCTGCAGTCAATGATCTAAAGATATTGGAAGAAACAGTGTGTTCAGAAGAACTATTATTCTCACACCAAACCCCATCCCAAAGAAGACACACACACACACAGAGGAACGTTTTTAAAATGTACGATTTGTTGTTGGGATTTGAAGGTTGGATGAGGACGAGTTGCTGACCAACTCTTCTTTTATTTTTATATATATTAATTGTATATTCCGAGAGAGAGAAGGAAGGAGCGAGAGAGAGAGAGAGAGAGAGAGAGACACTCTTTTCCAAATACTGGATGAAAAGGCATCCAATCCGGAATGTACCTACAACTATTAAGCAGCGGCTAATATAAAATCAGTAAAAATAATTGAGGATTTCAGATTATTGATGAAGATGAAAAAATATGCCTTGAAGAATATAAGAAATAACTGGGCCGACTACAGAACATTTGCCATAATTTGAACCTAGCACCAGAACCAAAGTCATCTCGTTTCTAAACCACACAAGATAATGTCAACAACCAGAAAAAAAATTTCTTGTAAACAGCCCTTCCTATGTTAAAAGATGATGTAAAAAACAAAATACATATACCTGATATTAGCTCCCTTTTGCCATCATCAGATGATATACGATACCACTGAATTGAACAGTTAGAAAGTTCAGGAGCAGTATCAGAGCAAGGTCTAATCTGCAAATATGAACCTAAAGCTTCGGCACCATCTAACTCATATAAAAGGCAAATATTATCCTCGGCCCTCTTGCTCATTGCCAGCTGCAGACAGATAAAAGGAAAATCAAATAGTTCAAGCCAATAATATAAATGGTGCCTCATTCCTATACTTCTAATGGAATTGCAGAACAACAGTCATAATAAATTCTTATTGGGTCACGGTCTGGACTCTATAGAGGATTTAGAGAATTTAATTGACTTATTAGTGTAAATATTTTGTACACGGATTGGGACCCCCTTGGTGCTGTTGTTAATAAAATTTTTTGCTCTGTTTAATTCAAAAAAAAAAAAAGAACAGTCACAATAAATTCTAGAAAGGACCACAAAATCAATATTAGCAGCATGGCATTACCTCCCATCCATGAACAATGATAAAATGCCTTAGTTTTCAAATAAATAAACTCACACAGCTAAGCAAAATCACCAAGAATCCCCTATGCTACCACCCATTATAATTGGGGGAAGCATTTAGAAGAGTGCAATTTTCTCAGATCAGTAAAAGTAATTATCTGGAACAGCTGAAATGCACATAATACTCAAAATACAGAATACTAACAACCTTCTTATATGCAATTTAAATTGAAAACTGAAGCAATAAATATTAATGGACAAATAAGTGCAAATTCAAGCAAAGTACAAACAACTACTCCCCAAATTTCAAAAGAAAAATAAGCTACAAAAAACATAGCTACAGTGACGATCATGAAAACTTTCTGAATAAGCATTAGCAAAGGTCATCAAAGCTCTTAGCATCAAAAATAAGCTAACAGTATTAAGTAGAAGCACCAAACCTTTTTCTGAAGCTGAATAGAATGCCTGGACTTCTCTGCTAGTTGAATCCTCAATGCTTGAAGTTCATGTTCCATGTCCATTACCTTCAATATTACATTCAAGTCATCTTATTATCAACTGTGACTTTATGTCAATAAATAAAACCACAGGACAAATAAACACCAAAATGAAGAAAAACCAAGAACATAACAGATTAACATTTTTAATTCATATCACAGCCGATTCACTGGAAAAACGTGAAACAAAATGAGAATATATTCCATAAATAGTGTTCCGAAAATCTTTGCAAACAAAATTATCATTATTATCTAAGACAATTAACATGTACCATTCTCGGATATGATCATCACAAGCAAATATGATTTTTTTATTACAAGAAGCAAATATGAAAATTGCGTATAAAGGAGTAAGCATTGGAATGGAGCCAAAGCGACTAAAGTGTTTGGCCACTTGGCCTTCAGCTTAATAAATCTCTTTTTTTAGATAATAGCTTAATAAATCTTTAAAAGAGTGTTTAAGACTTCCAGCAGATTCCAAAGCTTCCCTAGGATTCTTGTGTTAGGATTTTATTCCTTGTTCTCTTGTGTTTGTTCTTCTAGTTATTCTACCTTACCTACCTCATTCTCTTGTGTTTGTTCTTCTAGTTATTCTACCTAACATATCTCGTTCAGTTGACTTCACTCCATATGTCTTCACTCAATCCCTAATTTCCTGTAGTCCCAATCTAGCCTTCTGTTTCTCACCTGAATTCACTCTATTCAATTCCTAAACCATCTCTAGACAAGTTAGTTCTGATACTACTCCTGCATCACCCACACCAGCAAGTTCCAATATATCGCAATAGTCCCCTTTTGATTGACAAACTCTACTTAACAAAGCTATCGGCTCCATCACCCTTCATAAACCATTTCAACCTTATCTCAATCAATCAAAATAACACCCCACGAATAGAGTTTAGTACAGCAAATACTTCTTAACATTATCTAACTTGGGTAAACTATATGCTTTGCTAACAATTGAATGTAATAAATACTTTATTTTGCGAAAGGAACACATAAGCATGAACATATCATAAAGACTCACAAGGAAAACAAATCAAAAGATTGCATACAAACCTTGCTTGGCTGATGGAGCATCTTAATTCGTCTAGCCTCTTGAACTTCTTTCATTAATTCTTCCAAGTCCTGAGTAACAAATGAAAACCCTTTTATTGCAAAGAAACGGATAGAGATAAGCATGTATAAATAAAATAAAATAAAATAAAAGTAACAATACATAAACAAATGCACTGGCATGTAACAAACACAAGAAGCCCCAAAGATGAAATACAATCTTTTGCATGTGAATCATCGAGTTTTAAATCCATTAAGTGTCATCTCTCAGCACACTTCTATCATCTGCCCACTCTTATCCATCACGGAAATACAATAAAGAAATAGGCAGATATATCCTCTATGAGATTGAAAGCATTTAGCACTCTGCAGCTTAAAGATATAGAAGTCCAATAATCAGAATGGCGAGAGTCAAGAAAGATGATGCAGATTACCGAAGCTAGACAACTGGTATTGTAGAAGATGTAAATACTACAGACCTGCTTCCCTGATGCCCGGGACATTCGTTCATGTTCCTCAAGGGCCTCCTCCACTCTCTGAACTGCTGCCCTTGCATTCTCAATTTCAGCACGAGCAAAAGCTCTTTCCTCATCAACAAGTTTTTTTGCATCTTCTGAGGCCTATTGAAGGACATAAGCATTTAGCAGGAAACCAAAAAGAGACATGCCCTTATTTGGACAAAGATATGTAGGAGACAAATTAAATGATTCAATAAAAACTTCGGAAATAATTTGTGACAACAAACCCTAGAACAAAAGGCAGAAATTTTGAAAAGAGAAAGTAAATCTTCTTGAAAGAACTGTTAATTTTATAAAAACAAAGAATCAAAAAAAGAACTGTTGAGTTTTAAACATTCTTATGTGAAAATTTGGATTTCAGGAAAGCAAACCCGCCTTTGATTCACTACTAGCAACTAATCAATAATGAGAAGAAGGATTATAAACAAGGACGACATACCATCCTCTAAAAGGGAAAGAAACAAAGTAAAAGCTCTATTGATAGAAGATAGCAACTCTACTTTGTAGGGTGGATAAAGAACCCCCCCTAAATAGGAACACACATGTTGATAAAATGATTTAAGCCCTGTGTTTGAGCCCCAACAGAAACCCAAAACCCCATCCTCTCTCCCAAATCAATGAAATGAAAGAATCCTTCGCTTATAAATTCTTCCTTCCTCCCCAATAAAAGGACCCATAACCCAGCAAAAATAGCTAATCTGCAAAGCATCTTATGATCCTAGCTCCACCGGAAGCCAAATAAAGAGGTGGAGATTGAAATCCTCAAGTTGAGGATACCCCCAAGGACCACAAAAGATGCTAATAGTAACAAATTTAGAAAGTAGTTTTAACTTCCTTGTAATTTAGGAATTTGTAATTATAATTTTTAGTATTATGATTTTATTCATTTTTTAAATTTTTTCAATTTCCTATTAGAGCTTCTAGTCCTAATTAAATTAGAATTAAAGTCTATAAATACTCTTGTAATTTCTTTCATTAGAAGACAGCTGTATCAGATAATTTTCAGCAGATTTTTCCTGTGATTGTGTGAAGCAACTTTGATATTATGATGCAATCGCTCTTAGGTGAGATATTGTGATATTAAGGGTTAAACCCCTAATTTAAAGGTAAGTAGATTATCCTAATTTATCCAACATTGCATTACTACCTACAGCGACATAAAAAGAACTCTAGAAGAATATAATTGCAACGGGAATTTGCAATACAAATACATACAAAGAGAGAAACACTACTTGGCTTCTGGCATATGCATGCTTTACCTGCTTGAGAAAACTTGCTAGTTTCTTCACTTCCGCTTTTTCCTGGATCAGCTCTCCTTCCCTTTGAGTTAACTGAACTGCTAAAGCTTCCACCTGGAGGAGATAACAACTTCTTAAACATCAATTACTTCTATAAGAGATTATAGAGACAAGATGGTATAACTCCACCAAAATACTGCGAAAATAGTCGTATAAACCTTAGGGGTGGAGCAGGGGTCAAATACAAGCAGCAATTTTGAAGTTTCGAGTATTCTCCACCATCTCAAATGCAAATATATCCAAGCAAAACCAAATCATAATAAAATTCAAAAGGAAAAAGAAGCTTTCTACTTGATCATCAGAGTATCAGTTTGACTAGGTAACACCTCCAAAGCAATTGTGAACAACATAAATATAGCCACGCACATATTTATAATTGAAGGATACAAGTGACTTATATTTGCAAATATTCATATTCACTTGCACAAATTCAGCCAACATTCAAAATTTTTTCCCACTAAAACCAGTTTTCAATCAAATCTGCACTCAATACATAGGATCTGTGATGCACAATAGGAAGACTCAAAAGTGGGCATATTTCAATAGTAAGAGATATGATGCAAAACCAATAAAGGAAAATAAATGTTCTTTTACACTAAAAGGAATACGAAGATTTAATTTTGTTTTATAGTTCTGGAAAGTTTTACAATAAATGGAAATAAGAAAATTTAATTTCCTTTTCCTAAGTATTTTTCTAGTTCCTCCATTCCTAGTTTCTAGATTTCTTTTTAATTGTATTTTGGTATCTATAAATAAGGTACTCTAGTTGAGTTGTAGGGGAGACTATTCATAACTATTATTCAACTATTGAGATATTATGATTATTGAGATCTGAGATCTCCAAGTATAGTTCTTAATAAAGTTTATTTGTTTTGTCTTCAAACTCTTTTTGTCCTACATCAATTGGTATCAGTGGCTAAAATCGATATTTCGTGCTTCCTAAATTTTATTACCACAACCTTACTATCAGAAAGAAACCCTAAGGTCCTAAATTAGCTGCCAGCAGCATCAGGATGAAGAAAAGACAGAAACTGTCAATGCAACGCCATCCTTGACCACCGCAGGGAGATGGGCGACACTGCCCTTCCATAGATTTTAGAAGTGGATGACTGGCCTACCCACCAATTATTGGCTTCTACCGTACCAGAATCCTCCTCACTTGCCAGAAACTCACTGGATCACTGCAACAAAAAAGATCTCCTCCCTCCCCACCGGTTCTTGATTTTTTTGGGCTTGCTCTTTCACTTTTTGCTGTTAGTTTGATCAAATTCTAGTCCTGTGTTCACTTTTTGGCAAGTTAATAATTTAGACAAAGTTTGCTTGGAGTAAGAGGAATTTTTTATGGATTTAAAGCATGAACAAAGTTAATCATGTTCTTGCACTTACGTTCTACTAGGTATATGATTCAGTTACAAAAGATGATCTATGAGATTATTTTGTATTAATTTTTTTATTAATATGGATATATGGAAAAAAAAAAAATTAAATTAGTTGAAATTCCACGTTGCACACTTTTGTAACTTATAGATTCTGTGAAGATACTGTTCGCACTCAAAATTCTTCCCTCCACTAATACCTCTCCAGACCAAATCTTTTCTCTTATCGAACCAATCACCCCCAACTGATCTCTAGTAACCCATAAGGCATGGTCCATAACTAATACGCAAACGGACACCAAAAGAAGGATGTGATTACAAGATTTCGCCTCCTTCTTACATAGATAACAACCATTCACCAAATTTCTTTTCCTTCCTCATCAGCTTGTCAATAGTAAGGATACACCCACACCTACTTTCCATGTAAAGAAAATAACTCTGAATGGAGTATTAACATTTCAAATTAGTTTAAATCTGTGGCATCATTCTTAATCAAATAAGCATAGAAAGACTAGACCGAGAAAGATCCTCTAGTATTGAGACTCCAAATTGGTTGGTCATTACTCCCATTAGTTGATGCGAAAGAGAGTGCATTGAGGAGAGTCTCATAATTATTAATTTATCAATCATTGAGGTTTCTCATAACTTCCACATGTCACTCCCTTTCTCCCATTATTTTTGAATGACTCAAAAACCGTGATATCCTTGTGTCTTACAGTAGCATAGACCTAGGAAAACTGATCTCTGAGTCATCCCTGTCTAAGCCGAGCTTCCTGCCAAAAGTTGATTTTGTCCCCAATGTCAACCATCCACCTGATGTAGTATTGAAATTAATTCCTATTCATTTTTTTTCATATCCCCATCCTATGCAGTCTAGTCAATACTTTGGAAAAGCATCATCTATCCACGGTACCGAACTTCGCAACTATCACCCTCCACAATAAGATACCATTTTCTTTCATGAGTCTCAATAGCTAATTACCCTGTATGACCACATTCATTTGCACCAAAGATATCAACCCCAAACCTCCTTGAGACATTGGCTTTTTTATCTTATACTACGCCATCAAGTGATATCTTTTCCTATTCTTAGAGTCGTTCAATGGAAGCTATACTAAATTGATTCCAGTCTCTTGACAAAGTTCACTGGAATTGTCAAAAAGGACATGTGATAAATGAGGTTGGCTAACGTACTTTTAACATCTGGTTGACTTCTCCTAGTGAGTCAAAACATCCAGTCAAACCACTCTCTAGTGAGGTTATCACAGTTTCCGATGTTGACTTATCCTCTCGGTCCATACAATTGATAAACTTTTCCCTGCATATTAGTAAACTGGAATATGAAGATTTAATTTCCTTTCATAATTTTGGAAAGTTTTACAATAAAGGGAAATAGGAACATTTATTTACTTTTTGCAAAGCATTCTCCTAGTTCTTTCATTTTGGTCATTATCTTATTTTTCTAGATTCCTATTTTAATTGTATTCAATGTCTCTAAATAAGGTATCCTAATTTTAGCTGTTAGGGAGACCATTTATGATTATTATTCAAATATTGAGGTACTGTTTTGATTATCGAGATCCAAGATCTCCAACTGTGGTTCTTAATAAAATTGCTTTTAAGTTTTGTCTTCAAGCTTTCTTGGTCACACATCAAACTGATTAAGGTCTTCACTGAACTTTATCTTTTATGTGACAGCATATTCAAACAAGTAATTGTCCAAAAACTACCTCCCACAACCATGCTTTTACCGTATTATATATCCTTCATTTCATATACACTAGAGTTCCGCCAATATTAGGAGCATTCATTAGTTCCATAAAATGAGGCTGTCCAAACTGGGAAAATAAATAGATCCTTTAATGGCCTAGGAGGACATGAAAATGATAGCTAACAGGACAAAATTCTGAAAATGCAAAGGTAGAAAGGAACTCAGAACCTGCAAAAAAAGAATTCAGGTTTTAGCTTACTCATCTATGCATGCAGATAGCATACCACAGATGAATTGGGCGATCACCTAGGTGAGAAACAGCTAGAGAATAAAGGATGAACCAGGTCCAATGTTTTCATATTATAAATCACAATAATTCTACTCCAAAAATTTTTTGTTAGTATGCTCTTATTATTTAAATAATGCATTTTAAACTAAGCTTCTATAATGCCACAAATAACACATGGTATCATTACAAGTAATCAATTTCGTGGACTTTCCTTACAAACAAATGTGACACTCAAAATAGGTTAAAAGAACAAACCATAGCAATAGCTTCCTCTACATCATCCTTGTTTCTACCAGCCACGCGTCCTTTTAATGATTCCAATGCATCCCTAAGCTTCTTCAAAAGAACATGTTTCTCCAATGAGGCTGCCTCTCTGAGTCTAGCCTGAAATAACAAATGTGGATCATTTGAAAAGTTCAAGAAATGAAACTTAAAAAAAAAATGGCTAAAAGGCAAGCTAAACTGCACAACCCCCAATACAGAATAATGACAAATAAGACCATTAGTTGACTGGACTTATATCACAAACTAGTGTGATTACAATGGTCACCACACTCTTCAAAATGAAACCAATAAGATCACTCTCAGTGTTTCTCTCCAAAACATCAAGTCCCGATCCACCACAAATGGGGGCATAAACTCAAGTTAAAAAAGAAAAAGTAAACACAACAACATCAACATATGAAAAAGCTTTGAATATATCTGACCTCTTCAGATAACTTAGCTGCAGCAGCCAACCCCTTCTCGAATTTGCTCGCAAGGTCACGGACGGAGAGACGTTTCTGCTGCTCCAAGAGCAGTGCGGTCTCACGCGCAACAACCTCTTTCATAGACAGTACTTTAGGATCATCTTTTCCATCCAGGATTTGATTGCTAGCTCCAAGTTTATAATTTGGAAACCGACTAGAAGCAAATATCACATCTGCTGATACTGCAGGAACAGCATCCTTTTGCATTGTATTACCAAAATCACGGCTTACCCTTGTCATTATTCAACTCTACCAACTGTTCATCACCATAATGATTTGCTAAGTTATAAAGAATTAACGGTATAATCACCTTTTTCTGTGAAGTATAGCATAATCAATCTGAAAAAGACTTCTCAACCTAAAGAAAAACTGTTGGTAAATGTTTACCAACCCAAATTACTTACAGCCAAAAAATTATTCCTCAACAAAGTTACCTATCCGTAGCTTGGAAATGCAAGAGAGCTTAAAAAAAATATATAACAGAATCAAAACGTTAGCCGATAAGATAATCCATTATTCAACTCCGATCGAGGAAAAAAGAGCCAAAAACAAAAGACAATCACCCTATTCAACCAGTACGAACAAAACGACAAAACTCTACGCACTGTTATTGCTTTCCTCTTTTTTTTTCTCGGGAACCGAACAGTCTACAGTAATCAATTAATAACACAAAAAGAGAAAAATATATGAAATTCCAGTACCATCAATGAAGGAGAAGCACTGAAAACAGGAAGGAAAAAAAAAAAACACAAGATAATTCTTAAACATTGATTATTTACAACTCAAGCAGAAGCTAAACCCTGCAATCAAACACGAACTCCCAAACGAGAACACTTAAAGAGAGTGTGAGAGCGCACGCAGAACGAAGACTCCAAATCGGTCGAAAACAAAACACTTAAAAAGAAGTTCAGAAAAAATAGATACGGAAGAGAAAAGAAGAAAAGGAGAATAAGAAGAAGAATAGGTAATATTGGGACTTACAGATCATGAAAAACACAGAAAAGCACCCGCCAAAAAATGGAACAAACAAAGAGTGAGTTCTTGGATCCGAGGAAAAAGATTTAGCTTAAATTGAATCTTTCAGGATTGACCAAAAATGGCTAAACCGAGGAAACCAGATAAATTATAAACTGGAGGAAGAGGAGGAGGAGGAGGAGGAGGAGGAAGAAGAAGAAGAAGAATTTGGGAAATGGAAAAGGAAGTGTTTGTTAGCGTTTGGTTTTGCCTTTTAAAAAGCTAAAGGGGAAAAAGAAAGAAAAAGCCGCCCTGTGTGATTTGAGTGGGGTTTTTATTTTTTTTATTTAATTTAATTTTTTTTTAATTAATTAATTAAGATTTTAAAAAAAAATTATTTAAAGAAAAATAATATTGAAAATTGGATTCTGATACCACTGTAGGGTGTCATGCTGCATGCTTATGCTTTAAACTTCAAACTTCTTGACTGGTCCCACGTGTTGCTCTTCCGACTCTGCTAGATCTGCGTCTTAAGGGCATGTTTGGATTCTCATGAAATTTGTTTTAAAATTAATAGTGAAAATTTATTTTAAATTATAAAAAAATAAAATAAATTATGTAATCTTTTTATTAAATTAAAGTAACATATTCTTAATTTTTATTAACAAATCTATAATGATAACCTTATTTAGAACGATATTAGACTATCGATCATTTTATCTATTTAAAATGTTGAGATTAAAAAACGTGATACAATATATATTAATAAATATTAACACGCCTGATATATTAAAAATAGACGAGTATAATATAATAATAATTATCACAACTTAATATCTGAATAATTTTAAATTTAAGTTTATCATTTGAAAATTGCATAAAAATATTAAATTTAAAATTTTTATAGTACATACAAAATTACAACATCATAACTATATATTAGTTTCCAATTTAAAAATATATATACTTTTTTCAATTCTAAAGTTGAAATTTTTATGTAAAATACAACCAATTAATTCAAAAGGGTCAAATAATTGAGAATTGTCTTGAATCCCTTTAAAATAAAATTATAATATAAGTGGATTTAGTAAAAGTTGACTACTTTATAACTTAATCTAGAAGGTAAATAGAAAACCATATTATATATATTTTTCTTATAAAAAAAGTCGGTCCAATAATTTGTTATAGATTAATTGTAATAATAATGTTAAAGTTAAATATTGTACGTTTATTAATTTATTAATAAATTAAATTAAATATTATTAGTCTTAAAACATAATATAACTACAAAATAATAAGTTGTATATATTTAATAAAATTGAATTTTTAAAATTTAAATAAAATACAAAAATTATAATATTTAAAACCTGTTTGATGGTTATATGAATGTGTGCGCGCGCGCGCGTGTGTATATATATATTTATATATATATAAGATTGAACACGTATAAAATAATGTTGAATTGAAGTATTAAAAACATATGGAGGATGGAATGGGCGGCTGAAAAATATGAAATGTGAATCAGATCAGCTGACACAAGCTGCCCGGGACCATATATATAAATGTGGGTGTATGTATATATATATATATATATATATATATATTATTATATTTTTCTCCTTAGATAGCCTGGCCACCTACGAAAACGAGATTATATTTATATCATAGTCTAAAAAAAATAAATCACATTTAATTCTGTTGTATGTGAGATACAATCTCATGAAATGGACTGATTTAATTAGTCAAGTCAAATATGCTTATTTTACTCACTTTATTTATTAAAAAAATAATTATTTAATTGGAAAAACGTGATGGGGTGTAACAACTATATATATATATATATATAAATACATACTAATAAAAAAATAATATTATTTATTTAAAAAAATAAATATAAATATAAACCATATATTAAAAGTAAACCAACATTAATCAATATTGATACATGTCACATTTCACTACTTAATAAACCATATATTAAAAATAAACATAAATAGAAACGGTGTCGGATCAAGTTCGACGAATAAATTTAATCAGGTTCGGGCCTAATCAGCCCATGCTCAATTCTATACCAACCCAAGCCCTCCGATCCGCTCCGACCCGAACCGGCCCGCCCGGCTACTATTGGCGTCATCACTCTCATCTTCTCTCTGCCAACTGAATCAACTGTGTTTCATCTCGCTGTAAATCTTGATCCCCAAAATGCTTTCTTCCTCTCGTCATTCCCAGATTCTGATCCTAACCTAAACCAGTAATAGAGCAAACTCGATGGTGATGGTAGGTCCGCCGAAGAAGCACTTGCTACCTCTATTCGTCTTCCTCCTATTCCTATGCGCCCTATTTTTCCTCTACTCCAGTTCTCCTTCTCTCAACCTCACGCCTTCTAATTTCGATCAATCCTCCATTTCCCAAACCTTTCCTCTTAATCCCCATCCTGTCCCCTCCACCTTCACTTTCCTCATCAAGGTCCTCACATTCAACCGCTTACACTCCCTCTCTCGCTGCCTCCATTCTCTCGCCGCCGCCCGCTACGGCGCCGATCGAGTTCACCTCCATGTCTACGTTGATCATTTTGTTCTCGACCAGTCCACCACAGACGATCAGCTTGAGGAGTCGCGTAGGATCTTGGAATTCGTGGACCGCTTCGAATGGAAGTTCGGGGACAAGGTGGTGCATTACCGGACCTCCAATGCCGGATTGCAGGCGCAGTGGCTAGAAGCATGGTGGCCGAGTTCCGAAGATGAGTTTGCCTTCGTGGTGGAAGACGACCTGCAAGTTTCACCTCTTTATTACGAGTTTCTTAAGAGCGTGATCCTTAATTACTACTATAATTCTTCTAATTTCAGTCCCTCCATTTATGGAGCTTCTCTTCAGCGACCAAGATTCGTTCCAGGTATCCTTAATTACTACTACTATAATTATTTTAATTACTACTATCTCATTTCTCATTCAGTTCGTTAATGGGGTCTTTAAGTTATCACATTAGGTAGATGATTTGTTTTGTTCGATCTGCTTTTATTTAGTGATTATGGAACTACGCAGTGTCTAGATATTCAGGAGTATCGGGAAATGTAGAGAAAGAACAAAGAAGATTCTTTAGGTGTAGTGTTCATTAGAAGTGGAGCTAAATCGGCCATTTACGTTTATTGAGCTCCATAGTCGTAATGTTTTAGATCACGTTAATGGAAAGATTGTGGATGGCAGATGCCATTGTTATTGTGCTGATCCAGTCACCAGTCCTGTTATTGATACTTCGTGATTTCTTGCGGAAATTTTTTTTTTGTCTACAGGATAATACTACGAACCACAGTTGCTAATCTGTGAATTATAGGAACCCTTTGCGGGGAAAATTTATTATTAGCGATTTTATGATCACAATGCATCATGTTAAATAGTCAACTTTTACTCATCACTTAAGGATTGGAATAACTCAATCTATTATGTATACATGAACATCCCTATTATGCAAGTACATTAAGCTGAGAGCATAAAAGAGACACAAATGCTCCATATGTTCTGCCGAAATTTAATCAATAGGATCAGAGTGGCATCCAGTTCGACCAGTAAAATCTATAACTAATGCTATGGTAAATAATCACTTGTAATGAATGATCGAAAGCGAATGGGAATGCTCAATCTACTATCTAGAAACACATTTCATCATGCTTTTTCAATTTCCTCCTCTTTGGGTTTCATATAATGCATTAAGTTACCAACTACAGGTAAACATGGGAATAAAATACAGCTAGATAGTGGGACAAGGCTTTTCTTGTACCAAATAGTTGGAACTTGGGGCCAGCTTCTTTTCCCCAAACCTTGGAAAGAGTTCAGATTATGGTATGATGAACACAAGGCAAAGGGAATGAAGCCTTTTCTTGAAGGCATGGTAATTTAATTTATTTCATTTCACTACGTTAATCTTTCTTGTGTGTGTATTTAATCTTTGGGAAATAAATTTGAAACTTGTATTCAGGTGACAACAGGATGGTACAAAAAGATGGGAGAAAGGATTTGGACCCCTTGGTTTATTAAATTTATTCATTCTCGTGGATACTTTAATATTTACACGAATTTTCTGCATGAGAGAGCATTAAGTGTTTCTCACAGGGATGCTGGTGTTAACTATGGAAAAACAATTGGGCCAGACTCCCAATTATTGAATGAAACTTCTCTTGATTTCAATTTTCTGGAGATGCAGCCATTGAATAATCTCAAATGGTATGATTTCTGCTTCAGGGAAGTTCATCCTGGAAGAGTAGTCAGGAATTTAGATGAACTTGGGACGGTTCTTATGTCTGTGCAAAGACAGGAGACCGTTCTGTTTGTGAGTCTATTTGGCGTGTCAGAGATTGTCACAAGGAATATACTCTGCCACTTTGAGAGACTTAATACTCAGAATTATATCTTTTTTGGCCCCCATTCTGACTTACTCTTTGACCTTGCAAGAAGGGGACACGCTGTAATTGATGTAGACCAGTTTGTCAATGATGCCAAGGTTTATAAATTGACGAGGTTTAGACATTCCAATGCTGAGTTTATGAAGGAGGTTTTGGTGAAGGCTTATATTATTAAGAAGTGTCTGGATTATAGGTACAATATGTGGTTTATGAATAGTAACATGCTTTTTGCCGCTAATGATGTGTTCCTTGAGGCTGTCACTCCCACCTTAGACGTCTATATTGGGAAGAACATGGAACTTTTCTTTAGCCGTAGTTCATCTTCCATGCAGAAAATTTGGACTGATGATTTTTTTAACAATTTCGTCACCACGTTGAATAAAGTATCATCAAATACAGAGAGTAGAAAGTTTGGGCAAGTAGTGCCAAAGTTATTGGAGCAGATGGGTGTGAAAATCGGAATTATTGATGAGGCAAACTTCGCTGTTAATATTGGTACCAGTAGTATTAATCAGACCTCCTCTGGGACTGGGAAGAAGATTTTTTATTGGTCTTCTGAGATAGGTTCCGATATTATAGCAAAGAGACTAAAAGAGCTAAACATGTGGCTTATAGATGGGGATTTCTCCTGCACCGCTGTTGTTTGTCATCAATGATAGGATCCGGTACAGTGGTATTACAATTTTGCTTTAGATTCTTCTTTTTGGTTTATAGCAGTCCTTGTAAATCATTTGTACCAATACTCATATTTACATATACCATCCTAGTAAGATGGCAATTGA